GAAACCATTCCCCTGTAGGCACTGGTCTAGATGGCACGTTTGCATCACTGAAGGACTCCTCAAACTGCAACAGAATCCTTCTCTTTTAACTCTGAATAACTTGCTTTCCATAATATACCACATTTAGTTTTCAGTAAGTTGAAAGAATTGCTTACCTCTTTTTCCAGGATCTTCAAATCTTTATCATTCTTTTGAGATTCCTTCTGTTTAACAGTCAAAGAACAATTACAAATGACTTTAAGTGCCACAAATATCACAGCCGAATTTGACTTTTAGTTACCAGAAAAGATTAAGGGATCCAAACAGTTAATTTCTAATTTAAATATTGCACTGAGTCTATTAAACGTTTTGTAGACCACTTATCTGATAAATAAAGAAAAAAGTTCTTAAAATCTCAAAATATTTCAGGTTTAAAAGCTTCAACCCAAAATAGATCAGGCTTTTTCTAACAAGCTCAGTGAAAAGAACAGGTGGACCTTTATTAACTACTGACTACCTTCTTTCTAATGTTAAACAGCAACACATTTTGAATATTTAAATTATGCTATCTCAGAAAGAAAAAACTCTTCCAAAAAAAAATCAACTTAAACTTTGATATCCAAAGAGAAAAATAAATATACAGATGTAAAGAAATAAGAAAAACTGAAATAGCACAAGCTCTGATTCTAATTTTCTCACTGCCTTTATTCTAAATAAGACATACAATTTTCACACATCTTTTTATACCCAGCAGTCTTTCTGGCACAATGGCTAGAAACAGAATATCTATCTTTTCCATCTAAAAATGGAAGAAAAAGCATAAACATCTTGAACAAAATCTGTTTTACATATTTCTAAGTTTTTTTGGGGGGAGAGGGCACACCAGTCTCATGTTTATTAATTTCACAGCCAATGGCATTTTCTATGAGGGAAGACCTATTACTTCGAGGCTCTATACAAATTTGTATGTAATTTAGTTTTCCAAGGGGGTTTATGAATTCTATAATTAATTCAAAATTTCAGAACAGATTCTCCAAGAAATTCAAGTCAAGCCATTTATATCAATTTTCAAGAAGAGTGTCTATTTAGTCCTGCCCAATAAAAATAAAATGCAAGCCACACATTTATTTTAACAAGTAAAAATGTTAATACATGTATATTTTACTCAACCCAATATATAGTATATCTCAATCCAGATATTAAATTTTCATCAGAAATTTTTAGATTTAGATTTCATAAAATTCATGGTTGAAAAGTAGATTTACATACCTATATTGTTCCAAAATACTTAAAAGTTTTCTAGTAACTGAGTCAAACATCAGTTTTCAAATTTAAATATACATTAATTAAAAGGAAATAATATTAAAAATTTAGATCTTTAGTAGCACTAGCCACTTTTCAAGTGCTCAATAGCCACATTGGCTGGTCGCTTCCATATGAACAACGCAGCTCTATATTATAGAACAAGAGACTTAGGTAATTGCCAAATGAATGAACAGTCTAAGCTTAACCTGTAGCTTTGGTTTCCCAGTTCTGAATCTTTTTCACTCTAAAATATCTATTAATTTGTAGAACTCCTTAAAAAAGTACAACTTGTTTATGAATGTATAAAAACAGTAATAGCAGGCTCTTGCACAAGTCATAAGGCTATTAAGAATTTAATCTCTCACCACTCCTTAACAGTTTCTGAGTTGCAAACCTTTAGGCACTGGAATTTTTTTTTCTTTTTCTTCACCAATACTTACCCTTTCCCACAAACACACAAACAAAACCAAAACAACTCAAATGGTCGTAACTAATAAAGCATCACATAATTTTGAAAGGCTTACTAGGTAATGTAAAATTTATTTAGATATAAAAATAGGCTGGGTGTGGTGGTTCATGCCTGTAATCCCAGCACTTTGGGAGGCCAAGGAAGGAGGGCTGCTTGAGGTCAGGAATTTGAGACCAGCCTGGGCAACAAAGTGAGATCCCGTTTTTACCAAAAATTAGCTGGGAGTGGTGGTGCCTGCTTGTAGTCCCAGCTACTCTGGAGGCTGAGGTGGGAGGATCCCCTGAGCCCAGGAGTTCAAGGCTGCAGTGAGCTATGATTGTGCCACTTTACTCCAGGCTGGGTGACAAAGTGAGATCCTGTCTTCATGCCAACCCCCGCCCCCACCGCCAAAAATACTGAGAAATGGACCATTTCGTAATTGTGAAGTAAGGACAGATCTAAGTACGATATATTTGGTAATGTCCTAGGCAGAAATTAGAGTCTTAATGATAACCTTTTCCATTAATTTACAGATTTATTTATAACCTTGATTTATATACTTAATTCATTCTCATCAAATACAATACTTCTAAGATACATTTTCAATGATAACAGTTGATAAACCAACTGGCATATAAAAGTCTCTCACCTTTAATTCCAAGGTCTTGACTTTCCTAGCTGAAGCAGGCAAGGTAGCATCTTTGTCAACACTAGGATTTTGTTGGGATTCTACGGAACAATGAATTGTATAGATCATGGTTTGTGTTTATGAGTTTTAACCACATACAAAACACAATTTCCATATTTCTATTGCAATTATTGATGAAGCAATATAAAATTATTCTTTTAATTGTACATTTCCAAATTATTAGTTGCATAATATTTTTTACACATCTAATACCTTTCTGATTTTCCTAATACTCCCTGATAAGAAAAGTTAAGGTAATTACCAAAAAGGAAGCTGCACACCTATACAAATTTCTTGCTGAATTTTCCTGGTTACACAACGATGTAATGATGAAAGCATTATTCTGTACTGGACTCTTTCAAAAATCCATCAAATAAGAAAATTTAAACATAGTTATAGCTTTACATTTTTAGAAGTGCTATAGCATCTTTAAGTTTAAATACTGTTGTTCATAACTTTAAAACTTAGGAGATCATGCCATTGTTTTATCTTGAGATCCATTACCTTTTTGTTTTTTAAATCTTTGTGATTTCTGAAAGGATACTGGTCCTTTCAAAATTTCTGATGTTTTAACATCATAAGCACCTGGAGATGGTGCACAACCTAGAGGAAACAAAAAACATTCATGTATCATCTAATGTTATTTATGATCTTAAGTGAAAAACCTGTCATAATAAAGTGAATATAAATGTAAAAATGCCATTAAACAAACTGTTTCTATTTTTTTAAACGTAAAAATAGCATTCATTTGGTATTACAAAGGTGGTCTCTGCGTGAAGAACAGTTATCGTCTTGTCCTTTATATGGACAAAGGAACACAGGCAACTGAACAAAGCAGGATAGTTTGGGGATGAACATCATGTAATGACAAGCAATGTGGCTTTGTTATTAAGGACTGAGTATAATAAATAAGATATTTGGGTGTTAGTCAACTCTACTCAAAGAGAATCACTGAGGTGAGGTAGCTACCATTATTTTCTAGAAATAAAGCAATTAAAACTGTCTAGCCCTTAAGATTTAGCCCAGAATAAAAATTTACAGTGATAATCCATCTACAGCTAACAGAAATACATCAGACCTACTGATGGTGCCAACTGTAATTTGAACACACAGAAGAGCAACCATACTAAAAGCAATTAGAATTTTTTTGGCACTTACTAAATGCCAGGCATTATGGTAAGCATTTTATGGATATTTTATTTAATCATCACAAGAACCCTGTGATAATTTACAGATAAAGAATTTGAGGCTTAGGGAATATATATGGCTTTATAAAGCCATGCTATGTAAAGTACAAACTGTACTAGACAATATTTCTATGTTCCAGAAGTTTATACTATACAACTTCATTTAACTGCAGTCCCAAATCTGAAGCTATTTCAGAGTGTTTACACATGTCAGACTTGAGATGGGGCTCTTATGACTTACAATAACTAAAATATCATTAGCATAAAGCTTTAGCTGATTGGGAACCAACAGATTAATACTATTCTCTGAAAAGCTATTTTCAGAAAATACAGTGTAGACCTATGGTCTCCAACTCCCAGGTGGCAGACCAGAACCGGTCTGTGGCCTGTTAGGAACTCAGCCATAGAGCTTCGCTCCCCCCCAAATCCCCCCACGTCCATGGAAAAATTGTCTTCCATGGAATTTAGGAAGGAGGGTGCACACATCAGGAGGTGAGCGGCAGGCCAGTGATCAAAGCTTCATCTGTATTTATGGTGGCTCCCCATAGCTCGCATCACCACCTGAGGTGCCCCGCCCCTCCATGGAAAAACTGTCTTCCATGAAACTGGTCCCTGGTGCCAAAAGGTTGGGGGACCACTGGTCTAGAGTCTTACGCAAATAAATAGGAACAGCAAGGAGCTTTGACCATTTCAAGGCAACTACTGCTGTCCCCTAAGTGCTAGTCAAATGGTAGATAGGAACCCATTAGATCTTGACTAACACTTTAAAAACAAGTGAAATACAATAGAAAATAATATGGCTCAAATGTAGCAAGGTTAAGCATTGCTTTGTGGAACTTTTGTTTTAGTTATATATATAGAACTAAAAAAACATTTCCTAGGTAGGAATATAAAATTTATTTCTCACTCTGGGAAATAGTTTAAAAAGAATTAAAGTCATTGCTTTCACCTATTTTAAGTAACCATAAAAATTCTACTAACGATAGAATTAGGTTTCCATTCCTCTATCTGGAATTACAATCATTTAGATATACTGACACAAAGACTCCAATCCTGGAAATTTTCAGATCTAAATGTGGTCAATAAAGGGTAGAGATGGTGGATTTCTATTCAAGAAGGAGAGTCTCAAGATGAAGTGTGAAATTCACACATCTTAAACATCTATTTTATTCATTTGGGGTAAGGGTGGAGAGATAAATGGAGAACATATTGGCTTTTAATGCAAGTAGAAGACTTCAGAGGAAACTGCAGACACTACTGGTAGTTATGATGCAGGGCCTACAGTTATTCTCATTTACTCTCTGATCTTAAAGATGTTTCTGTGGAAAAATGTGAGAAGCACTTGGCAAGCAGCCAGAATTAAAAACAAAACAATGTTGAATTCTAGGATTTTAGTCCATCACTGGGTCCACACTCCCAAAGGAGGTAAGGGCCAGCAAAAGACGGGACAGTGGACAGTGACAAAGCAGCATATGCAAGCTGAGAACAATTAAGACCACACTTAACAAAAAACTCTTCCCTAAAGACTGTACAGAGTCAAATTTAATAGTTAATGGGGATTTGGATTCAAAAGGAACTAGGTTGAAATCCAGCCTGTATACTTACCAACGCTTTGTGAGACTGTGGCACATGCTATTTTCATGTTCTGTGCATTTTCCCTTACCATCACTTACATGTACTACATCATACATACGACTTTTTAGAAATCTGGGGAGAAGGAACATCAGACAAAAGGAATGGGGTGTCTTGGGAGATATCATAAGCTTTCTGGAACAACTTACATCTTCATCAACAATGACCCAAAGCTAACACAGGCAGCCAATACTTGTATGCAAACAAAACATTTTATTATGTATTACATTAAATAAATGTTTCAAAGTTCCAGACCTCTCTATTTTCTATTTATTACTTCTACCTAGAATGAACAGTCCACCTTCTGTTTTGCCTGGCTAAGTTTCATTTATCCTTTAGACCTCAGCCTGAATGTCACTTCTAGTTTTCTCCAAATTCCGTAATCAGACTAGAAAACTCCCTCCACACCAGCCTGTGCATACATATTGTTTCTATCATAGAATAACTTTTTATTTAGCTCAGAATTGAGTTTAACAGTATGGAAAAGAAAACATAGAAAACATAGATTTGGGAGTAGAGTTTTGTAATCAGCCAGATCAGGGTTCAAATTCCACCGTATCTGCCAATCAACAGACATTGCTATATGCCAGATACCTTGTAGACATAGGGAAAAGAGGGTGAATAAGAACATTATACTCTCCTTTTCTAGTACACCTTTCAGTCCTCTGGAAAGGTGGACTGATTCCACTTTCCACTGATTCTCAGATTCTTCATTCATAAAACAGGAATAAAAATAGTACCTATCTCATAGTATGGTTGTCAGGATTACTGGAATAATATGAGAAAGCACCACAGTGCCTCACACTCATACATACTAAGCACGAAATAAGTAAGTAGTATTATTTCTGAAATTGGGAGCCTGAAATATTTACCATTGGTAGAGCAAGTTTAATCTATTATAATAAGGCAAAACCAAACAACCTCTCCTTAAAACCATACTTCTGATAGATTTTAAGATGAGTTCCTTGAATACTTGGGAAATAATATGGTCCTTGAGTTTTTATTTTTTTTTATTTTTTTGAGTCTCAGTCTGTCACCCGGGCTAGAGTGCTGTGGCATCAGCTTAGCTCACAGTACGCTCAAAGTCCTGGGCTCAAGCAATCCTCCTGTCTCAGCCTCCCGAGTAGCTGGGACTACAGGCACATGCCACCATGCCTGGCTGATTTTTTTCTATTTTCAGTAGAGACAGGGTCTCACTGCTGGTCTCAAACTCCTGAGTTCAAGTGATCCTCCTGCCTGGGCCTCCCAGAGTGCTAGTATTACAGGCATGAGCCACTGTGCCTGGCCAGGTCCTTGAGTTTTTAAATTGAGAAAATATGCTTTTGCTTATCCACTTGTTCACTTAGCCTTCCTTTTTTTTTTTTTTTTTTTGAAACAGGGTCTCGCTGTTGTTTGGACTAGAGTGTAATGGAGTCATCATAGTTCACTGCAACCTCAAATTTTTGGGCTCAAGGGATCCTCCTGCCCCAGCCTCCCGAGTAGCTAGCAGTAGCTAGGACTACAGGCCTGTGCTACCATGCCTGGCTAATTTTTAAAAAAAATTTTTGTAGAGACGGGGTCTCACTATGTTGCTCAGGCTGGCCTTCCTTTATAAGCAGAGTTGTGGACATCTTCATTCACATGTTGGCTGATAAAAACTACAGATGTAATGAGTAACCATTAAATAGTGTATTATAGGCGTGGTGTGGTGGCTCACACCTGGAATCCTAGCACTCTGGGAGGCCAGGAGTTTGAGATCAGCCTGAGCAAGAGCGAGATCTCATCTCTACAAAAAATAGTCCCACACACAGTTAGCATCTTAAATGATGAGTGCTACCAACCACATCTCAGGCTTCCTGGTTATTGTGCTTATGCATTGCAGGGTTTAAGATCACATGACAGACTCATGGAGGCCTGGGTTCATACCCCAATTCTGCCAGTTTGGTTGTGTAACACTGAGCAACTTTAAAAGTCCCAGTCTTTTTATCAACAAAATAATAATAGGATTATCTCTTAAGGTTGTTGAGGGACTAAAAAAAAGGTAATAATTGAGGTAAAGATTTACTATTGTGCTTGAGGTATATGGTAAGTGGCCAATGTCAGCCTTTAATAACTTCATTTATAGTGTTTTCGATAAGTGCTACCGTTATAATTTTACACCTATAAACTGCCTTTACCAATCCTCCTTCTTCTTATGTTCAAATGGAATATCCAAAAGAAATCCACAAATTCAGACGAAAATACTCCAATGTTCTTATGAGTGAGGCCTTCTCGGACTCGACTGTCAAATAGCTACCAATGCCCCCCAATCCATGCCCACTCCTTTAACCTGCTTTAGTTTCTCTATATCGCTAATCGTTTACTGACAGTATTGCCCACCCAAATGTAAGCTCCATGGAGCAGGGACTGTTTCACTGCTGACTAGTGTTTCGCACGCAGTAGATGCTTAGTATGTATTTGAGGAAAATTTATCAGTTGAATGAGCCCCATCGCAGCCCTAAAATCTCCTCCAGCTTGTCCCCCCATGAAGGAAACTGAGAGGGGCAAGGGGCGTCAGAGCGTATCCCGCCCCCCAGCTCCTTCCCCCTTACGCACCAGAAGGGTCGTTGAATCGTTTCAGGGGCGCCTTAGGAAACGACATGCTGACGACCAATTTCTAGAGGCCGAAAAGTCACTATCACTCCTCGACAACTGCCTGCAGGCTATCACTGCCTACCGGCTTCAAATTCAAATCTCCCTGCACACTCCCTACCCACCCCTAACATTAGCCAATTGGATAACAAAACCTTGAGGCAGCCCAATCGCGCATAGGAATACTAAAAGCGCACGCTGGGCTTTTCAGCCGCGTCCAATTAGGTGGTCAGTGGGTTTAGGCTACTAGCCAATAGGAGACTGTTACTATTCCTCCTACACCCAATCATTTCTGCTGTTAATCTTAACCTTCGCACGAGTAGCATATGCGCAGGCGCAATTTTACAACTGAGAAGTTTGAAAGTTGACATTTTGGCGTTATGTTGGTGACGGTGCAGTGAATTCCTGTTTCACTGGTTACAGCCCTCTCCCATCGTTCTTTGGATGCAAACTTCTCTGGATTTCAGTTCTTTCGAACTCGGTCCTGCCAGTGACGTAAATGCCCATTGAAATGGAAAAACACACCGGGACACCAGCTTGCCCTCCTGCGCCTGTGCGGTGACCCGAGAGGCGGGGCCGGAGCGTAACCTGAGCGTGTGGACTCTGCGCATGCGCTCGGCTCGCTCGGTGCTGCTGCCGCCGGGAAGCAACTGGATTATGTCGGCCCCTTTTGAGGAGCGCAGTGGGGTGGTTCCGTGCGGGACCCCGTGGGGCCAGTGGTACCAGACCCTGGAGGAGGTGTTTATTGAAGTTCAAGTGCCACCAGGCACTCGCGCCCAGGATATTCAGTGTGGCCTGCAGAGCAGGCATGTGGCCCTGGCGGTGGGTGGCCGCGAGATCCTCAAGGTAGCGGCAGGTCGGGGCTTGTGCTCAATTTCTTTTATCCGAATCCCCTAGTCTTAAAGTTCACTGTTTCCTTGGAACAATTTCTGGGTTGCTGGAGGGGTCCTCTGGATGGCAGAAAGAGAAAGAGCGATTAAATTGGCCTGATCGGAGCCCCTATCCTCAGGACGAGTCTTTGACTTGTGGAAATTCGAGTAGCCCATTTTTCTGCTTTATTTTTATATCAAGTCGGACGGCTTCTTTTGTTTCTGTGGGTCTTCAGCTGGGAACAGCCTAAGTAGGTTGTTAAAAGAACAAATATTTATCGTATAGTCATCTAGTTGCCAAGAATACTGCGAGATAGAAAAGGTTCCTACCTTCAAGAGGTTGCGCTCTTGTAGGGAGGCATGAGGGATAAATATGTAGGCAGCTGTAGAAAAGTACAGCAAAGAAAATAAAAGCTAGGATAACGGGATAAAGATTCAGAGATGATGTCAGGTGATTTATTTCCTCATCAAAGATTAGAAAAATCCTGCATGTTTGTAGCGTGGTCAAGCAGGTGGTGAAATGTGCAAAGAAAATAATATCTCTTATTTATTTTCACCAATGTCCTTTGGCTCTGGGATCCACTTTTTCCTTGTTTAGCCTGTAATTACATTTAATTAAGAAGTTGAAGTTAGATTACTTTCTCAGATTAGATGCCGAAGATGTTTAATGGCAGCGTGTGTAGTGGTGAAGGATAACTACCTGGTAGGATACCTGACTCCACCCCTTTTCTAGTTTTGTAACCCTGGGCAAATGCCTCTTCTTCATACACAAGGTGTGGTAATTATAGTACCTTTTTCATAGGATTGTTTTGAGCCTAACATGGTATTCATGTTTTTGAAAAGCTTGTAATAGTGCCTGATCTGTAATAAGCTCATACTACATGTTAGCTATTATTATTTTATATAGAGGTGCTTTGAGTGCCTCAGAAGATTCGTGTGAAAGACATTGATTTGTGTCAACTTGGATCTTTTTTTTTTTTTTGAGACAGAGTCTTACTCTGTTGCCCAGGCTAGAGTGCTGTGGCGTCAGCTGAGCTCACAGCAACCTCAAACTCCTGGGCTCAAGCGATCCTTCTGCCTCAGCCTCTTGAGTAGCTGGGACTACAGGCATGTGCCACCATGCCCGGCTAATTTTTTATATATATATATTTTTAATTGTCCAGATCATTTCTTTATATTTTTTTAGTGGAGATGAGGTCTCGCTCTTGCTCAGGCTGGTCTCGAACTCCTGACCTTGAGGGATCCACCTGCCTCAGCCTCCCAGAGTGCTAGGATTACAGGCGTGAGCCACCGCGCCCGGCCTCAACTTGGATCTTAATGACTTTTAAACTTAAATTTGGAACAAATTAAAATGAATCTGAGCATATACATTCTCTTTTAAATTTATATTTTGATTACTTAAGAGTTTGTGAAAAATCAGTTACAACTAATCTGAAATTGAATCTACAGCATGAGCTTTAAATTTTTTTTAATGCCATTCACCCAACAATGTGATTGAATCAGTTTTTAAAAGTTTACTTTAAAATATGTTAGCTAGGAGGAAATTTAGCATCGAGCACCTATAAATGTGGTGAAATGGTATAGGATGTGGATCAGGTAGGAAATTAGGTAAACCATAGTCATGAAAGCTTTATAAAAATTAATTAAATGCTATATTTTTAGTATCTTAAATGTTTATTTTTCAGGGCAAACTCTTTGATTCTACAATAGCTGATGAGGGGACATGGACTTTGGGTAAGGATAACTATTATAATTCATAGAATCTTTTTTAAAATTAATTTTGTTTTGGAACTTAGTATGTTTTCCATTTCTTGTATTAGGTCCTTTTGTCTTTGTAGCTTTGAAAGCTATAATAACAGAAATGTGTTGAAAACAATTGTATGTCAAGATTACCTAAAGGTTTTTGAAAAATATGATGAACTTTATTTGTGATTTTTTTTTCTTTAGAGGATAGAAAAATGGTTCGTATTGTTCTTACAAAGACAAAGAGAGATGCAGCAAATTGTTGGACTTCTCTTCTAGAATCTGAATATGCAGCTGATCCTTGGGTCCAAGACCAAATGCAGAGAAAGCTTACATTAGAGAGATTCCAGAAAGAAGTAAGTCAGACAGATGTATGAATATATATACTCAAGTATCTAAAAATCACAGAGTAAATATTATTTGAAATTAAAACTCAAGAATAATTATGAGAAGTTACAAAAATTCTTTATAGAAATTTTAAAGTAAATGATTAGAAAAATGGTCCATGTATGGATTTGATTTTTTAAAAATTTTCTTTAGAGGAATTTGTTTGTATTATGATTTCTTAGTTTAAATTTACTTAATGTACATCAGTAATAAATGAATAAACTCTTGTAAAATTGAGTCAGTATAGACTCACATAGTATAAAAAGTTTCTGAAAGTCCCCTTCACCATAATCCTCCATTCCACGCATCTGTCTCATTCTCATTTGATATATTGGGCTTGTTTGTTTTGTTTTCAACATAAATGGAGGATCACACTGTGTATATTATTCTTCATGTTGCTTTTTCATTTAATAGTATGTCTTGGGTCTCTTTCCCTACTAGTACATACAGATAAAACTCATTCCTTTTAACTATTCAGAGTATTCCCTAGTTTGGATGTATCATAATTACTTAGCTATTTGCCTTTGATACAATTTAGATTTTTCTATTTTTTTCTGTTTAAAATAAAGCAGTGCTTTCTTCTCTGTGAAACTACTCAGATGTTCTAAGATAAATATCTAGGAGAGAAATTACTGTGCATCAAAGCACTTCTAAAATTTTGATGAATAATTTATATCTATATGATAATGATTTCCAGATGTATATCTCTAGCCTGAACTTTTCTCCTGGATTTTGGACCTGCATATCCATGTCCACCTGGCTCTCGAACAAACATAACAAACTCAACATGTCCAAATTGAACACCCTGGTTTCCTTCCTAGCCTTCTTATCTCAATTGTTGGAAACTAGTTGCTCAGGTCAAAAAAAAATTGGGAATGATCCTTGATTTGTCTCTCTCATACCCTCCAATTTGTTAGGAAATCTTACTGGCACTACCTTCCACATATATTCAGAATTTGCAGAATCTGACCACTTATCACTCCCAACTCTACTACCACTCTGATCTGGACCACCTTTGAAGTCTTGCCTAGATTACTCCAATAGCCTTCTAATTGGTCTCTTCACTTCTTCCCTTGCCCAGGCACAGCCTTGTCAAAAGAGCAGTCCTTTTAAAATTCAAGTCAGATACGTCACTTCTCTTCTCAGAGCTCTGCGAGTCGTTCCTCTTTTACTCTAGTAAAAGACAAGGTCTTTTAAAAGGTCCTGTCTAATCGGTTACTCCAGTTATCTCTCTGACCTCCTCCTCTCTTACTGCTGTCTCTCTTAGTCATTCTGCTCTAGCCATACTGGCCTGTTTGCTGTTCCTTAAATAACATGCCAGCCCTTTTCCTTTGCCATCCTTCTGACTGGAGTGTTCTTCCATAGCTTGGCTGACTTCTTCAGTGTTTCAAGTCATTGCTTAATGAAGCATACTTTGATCATCCCATTTAAGTATGATAATCTTTTTTCATTTCCTTTATCTTATCCTACTTTTTTTTTTTTCTATACTACTTACCAACTTTTAACAAGCTAGATCAGGGGTTGGCAAACTATTGCCAAATCTGGCCCACTGCCTGTTTTTTTTTTTTTTTTTTAGTGTTACTAGAATACAGCTAGGCTCATTTGTTTGTGTATGGTCTTTCAGAGAGTAGTTTCATACAGTTGAGTAGTTGTAACAGAAACTATGTGGCCTGTAAAGACTAAAATATTTACTGCCTGGCTCTTTACAGAGTTTTCCCAACCCCTGCACTGAGTAATTTATGGTTTTTATTTGTCTCCTCCTGCTGTAATGTCAACCACTAGAGCAGGGATCTTTGTTGTTAACTCTTGAGTTCCACATGCCTCTAATGGTACCTTCCAAACAGTAGGAGTTCAGTAAATGTTGAATAAATGAAATTGTCTACCAAAAAGACTAAATCCTGAGGTAGAGTACTTAAAATTCATAGGATCGTTGGTGAGGGTTAAATATTTTAATATTGGTATGGCTGTTAGGGCCCTGCCTGGCATATAGTAAGCTCTCAAAAAATGCTACCTATTAAATTCTGTTTATACACTGATATTGAAGTATATGTTTTATATGTTTTCCCATATACTTGCCAACATTGTAACATACATACTGATCTTCTAAACATTTGTAATTCTGAAAGTTGAAAAATACTTCATAGTTTTAAATTCCAT